TAGTTTAACACTTGCATACACCTACAGCAGAGAGTTTAATGGAATCTGTTAAAGAGGGTTGAAGGTGGGGGTGGGAGAAGAGTAGATTAGAAACATTTACAGGTGAAACTTTCTGAGTGGAAAGTGTGTGGGAGACATTAGCATACCTCCCAATATTACTCCAGTGAAAACAGGGATGTCCTATTTATTTATTTATTTATTTATTTATTTTTTATTCCCCGTCCATCTGAATGGGTTGCACCAGCCACTCTGGGCAGCTTCCAACATATATAAAGACATAATTAAACATTAAGAAACTTCCCAATACAGGGCTGCCTTCAGATGTCTTCTAAGGGTTGTATAGTTACTTATCTCCTTGGCTCATAACGCCATACCCTCCAACATTTCTCCAATGAAATTAAGGCTGTCCTAAGGAAAAGTGGCACATTCCGGGATCAAATCAAAAACCAGGATGGCTTTTGTAAATCCAGGGCTGTCCCTGGAAAAGAGAGACACTTGGAGGGTCTGTTTTAGGGTGAGAATCTTCACAATCGAGGGCGTTGTTGGGCAGGAGAGGAGGGTAGAACCCTAAATCTTTTGCGGCAGACCCCAGATTTCTTGCATCTTCCCTTTTCTTTAAACCTGATCTTTCTAAGAAGCCGTTGATTTATCATAAGACTTGAGTTATCCACCATCTTAATTTGCCCAGAGGCAAAGGAGACATATATGCAAATTTCATCCAAATCTGTACCACGAGCCTGTGCCTCACTCAAGTCTTTTACAGTGCCTATACTAACAATACCAAATTCTCAATAGTGCCTTACTAATGTTTCGTCATAGGCAGAGGCAGTCTCTTGCGCCTGGATTCCCAAGGTCACATTCACACCATACATATAAAGCACATTTAAGGCACATGGATTTCCCCACAGAACCCTGGGAATTGTAGTTTCCCACACATTTCACTTCCCAGCACTCTTAACAAACTGCAGTTCCCAGGATTCTTTGAGTAAAGCCGAGTGCTTTAAATATATGGCATGGATGTGGCCCATCAAGTTTTGTACCCCAAAAAACCAGTTAGATGGCATTAGATGCCATTTTTTAAATTTCTGTATTAATATCACCCTTTTTGAATAATGCCCAGGCTGGGACAGATATTGCCCCTTCTTCATGAAGATCCCCAAACTCTGCTTCAGGGGCCCTGAAGTTTAAACTTCTTTCAAGGAAAAAACGGAGGTAGAAATGTTGGGAGATCTAATCCTGGATCTTTCACATCTCAATCTAGTTTGGCCTTAAGCCATAAACTGTGTGCCATGAAGAAATGTAACTCCCAATGATATATTAATAAAATGTTTGTGTGACTCCCAAACACCTACTTACAGAGTTCTGCATCTCTGTCTCATTTATTGACCAGGCCTAAAAAGGTAAAGGGACCCCTGACCATTAGGTCCAGTCGTGACCGACTCTGGGGTTGCGTTGCTCATCTCGCTTTATTGGCCGAGGGAGCTGGCATACAGCTTCCAGGTCATGTGGCCAGCATGACTAAGACGCTTCTGGAGAACCAGAGCAGCACACGGAAATGCCGTTTACCTTCCTGCCAGAGCGGTACCTATTTATCTACTTGCACTTTGACGTGCTTTTGATCTGCTAGGTTGGCAGGAGCAGGGACTGAGCAACGGGAGCTCGCCCCGTCACGGGGATTCGAACCGCTGACCTTCTGATTGGCAAGTCCTAGGCTCTGTGGTTTAACCCACAGCGCCACCCGCGTCCCTTGACCAGGCCTAGCCTTCTTCAATTAGCCTGCTTTGGGCTGGGTGATTCTGCCATAGCTCTTCAGCATCCAGAGGAATTGAATGACCTGATAATTTTGATCTGATGCAGAGATACGGAAAAATCACCTGCCTTTGAAGGATGCTGCCTGTTGGGTCTCTGTATGGGTCACTGATCTGAGTTTGCCTCCTTTCAAGCATCCCCAGAACAGTGACACACAAAGAAACAAAGAAGTTGGGACTCCTCTAAGGGCTATGCCTTTTGCATAGTGCTTGACCTTTTGGCGTGAAAGAGTAAAGGGTAATTCCAATTTTAATTTCCAAAAATGGACCTCAGCTATCAGAGGCATGGAAATCAAGGGGCTAACTTGCATTTGTTGGCGTAGGAGGAAATGACTCTCCTACCAAAAGCCTAGATCTCTTGACAACAACTAGACTTTGCAAAAAGGCCACTTTGCACAGGGAAGGGAGCCAAGGCTCCGAATCCTGCCAGAAAGTTCCACAGATGTTCTGCCCTCTGAATCTCCAGCCTCTGCCCCATTGGGGGAGGGGGTTGTTGAGATCCAAGGCTGCCAGCTGTCATTTCCTAGCAGAGCTACTGGTGGGGCGGGGGGAATCCCTCTTGTTAAAAGGAGCCAGGAGCCGTTCAGTTCTGTTTGGCAGTCTATAAGTCTCCACTGCTCTCGCCTCTTAATTCCATTGCATCTTTGCACTGTTCGCGGAAGGCTGAGCCAAACACATTTCAGAAAGAGAGAAAGAGAAACCCAAACAAACTCCAGGACTCATTCTGTAGTCGAGTGGCTTGGCAACTCCATATGTTGAGAGAAAAAGAGATTTTTTTGAACTGTTTCCAGTGAAAGATGTGGGAAAAAAAGATCAGGAGACCCAAACATAGAAGGGAAAGAATGGTTTGCAAATGTTTTTAAGTGGGGCAGGGCCGGAGGATAACCAGTATGAGAAATGTGGGTTTTGAGACACAGAACAGCCACATGTTCTATCCCCCCCTTTAGGTTCTAGTTGGAATATTGATATATCTAACAACCTATACTAAAATAAACCCATTAACATGGCTCTATTCTTTGCAAGAAAGACAAGCTATTTCTCAAGTGTGTTTCGTGGGAGGATTTGGTGCAAAGCAAAGTACTGCTTGCATAACAGCTCCCCTAAAAACCATGGTGGGGTGTGTGTGTGCGCCAAGTCCTGTGGTTTCAAACCAACAGTTTCTTCCTTCCTTAAGAATGCAAGAATTGCTTTGATAAATCAAGTGGTGTCAGTAAGATTTCAGTGATGAAGCTCTCAGTAGGGAATGATGCCAGCCCCCATCATGCTGCCCCCCCAGCATGCCCCCCTACCCCAGCTAGCTAACTAGCTAGCTTCTGAACGTAGAAGTTTTTGCTTTGCTTTGGCACAATGTCATCTAACCTCCCCATAAAGGAAACAAGAAAGAATGCTCATTAAATGGCCAACATCACCTAATCTCCCTGCAAACAAATCAGGATGAATGTTCAATAAATAGGTCATCCGGAAGCAGCCTAAATTAGTTGTCATCAATAGGTCTTGTGGCAGTGAATTCTGTATTGTGTGTAGCTCAGGATTATAGCAACATGTTAGATCAGATCCAGCCATCATTTTCCAGTGGTGGACAACTAGATGCAACAAGGAAACCTCATAAGCAGGGCATGGAGGCAGCAACTTTCCTCTGCTGTTTGCCTACCTGCAAACAGCATTAAGAACTTGGAACTTCTGAACTTGGAGACGTACATTGCAAATCCTAACCATGTCTACTCTAAAAACTCCTGCTGTATTCAATCGGGCTTCCTTCCAGGTAAGAGGGGTTAAGATTACAGCTTTATTAATTTGCAAACTTCTTCCATCACCTTCCACCGGTAATGTCAAAGTGATTTGCAAGAAGGTTTGCAAGGTTATATTTGCTATCACAGCTCTACCGAGTCCTCCATGCAAAAGTTAGGAAAGAAAGAAAGAAAGAAAGAAAGAAAGAAAGAAAGAAAGAAAGAAAGAGCAGCAGACACAAAAAAGATAATGTGTTCTAGAAGGCAGTTCGAAAGCACCCACGGGTGCAAGAAGATAAATAGGGACCGCTTACTAGCGGGAAGGTAAACGGCGTTTCCGTGTGCGGCTCTGGCTCGCCAGAGCAGCGATGTCACGCTGGCCACGTGACCCGGAAGTGTCTCCGGACAGCGCTGGCCCCCGGCCTCTTGAGTGAGATGGGCGCACAACCCTAGAGTCTGTCAAGACTGGCCCGTATGGGCAGGGGTACCTTTACCTTTAATATTAGTCAATAGTTCAAAAAAGAGCCCGAAGTTCTGCTTTTATCTAACAATTTCCGTCTTTCACAGCTTTTTCCTATTTATCCTGTGTAGAGGAGTTGAGAACTTGTGAAGCATTCTGCTTTGATGTAGCACTCAGTTTCCAAAGCTTACCTACAATTGCCAAAAAATATTGTTTTAGGAATCCTTGGCAACAGTAACACTAGCCAAAACAAAATTCAAGGGACCAGATGGAAAGATCAAGATCAACCATAAATGCTAGTGTTTCCTGTTCAAAGGAGGAAGGCTGCTGGGGCTGCAATATTTATTGCCTTCCTTGAATACCCATTCTGTCGTTTCCATGTGATCACCACATATGTGAACCTCATTTCCTTGGGACCCTCAGTAGCTAACGCTCTGCTAACCATCTGCCCCAATTTTGCCCCTCCAACTAGACCAGGTGGGCAGCCTGACCTCCCTCTACATCGCACCAGAGAGTTGGAAATCCTGGAGAGCTGCTGCCAGCTGAGAAGAATTAGATATGTATCCTATGCAGGTGGGGGCGAGGGCAGAAGGGATGTCGCAGTTGTTTGCCTGGGTGCATGTTCTGGTTTCTAGGAAAGGAGCAGCACACTCCATTCTCACCTTCCTTACAGCCAGGTAGGCAAGTGCTTCTCTAGGGAATGCCAACCGAGATGCACATGTGGCTACTCGCAAACTTCCTGAACAAATGCTCCAACTGCCCAAGAGGCCAGGCGGCTCTGCTCTGTCACCGACACTGCATAACAGTATCTTATTAAAAAGTTGGAAGCAGCCCTTGCCACCCAACCATTGTGTATGCATACCATCTGGCTTCACAGAACAGCTTGGAGCCTGCTCTCCCCACCCACACCCACACCTGCTATAATGTTAAGAAGAGCCTTAGGACAATGTCTTCCTTTAAAAAAAGAGAGAGAGAAAGAGAAATGGGGAGACAGGGTTCACTTACAGGGCTTTCTCCTTTTCCGCCACCTCCGGCTCCTCCGCTGCTGCCAGGCTCTTTTCTGACCCTGGTGTCCAGCTGATGGTTTTGGACCTCTCCCCCAGAACTCTGTCCCACTAGCCTGGTGGGGTGGGTGATTTCCGAAACACCCCATCTTTTGCGCCAGCCGGCATTCGGGACCCGCCTCTGCAAATCGCCAGGTTGCGTATCCGCTTTTACAAAACCTACTCCAAGGAAAGGAAAAGAAAGAAACGCAAACCAGTTATCATGGTGTGATCAAGGAAAGAAGGGAAGACTTGATGAGCTGGGGCTTCATTTCTGAGAGGGGCAGCTAAAGGGGCAGAGGGGCTGCAGCCAGCCTGCAGGTCACCCTTTCTGATCTGAAAGCATTTACTTATAAACTCAGAGATGCAGAGGGGAATGGTGGTTGGTTGAGGTCACTTGGTGGGGAAGGAAAGGTATTTTAAATCATGCGGAGATGCATTCTTTTCCAGACTTCGGGTTTGTCCCAGGACAGGTTGTGGGGGGCTAAATTCTCATCAGATCAAGCCATGGAGGATACAAAATGAATTCAACATGTTGCAGAGAGGCCTACATACCAAAGGAACAAGGGCTTAGATGGAGCTCCTCCAACCATCTCAGCTTTTAATTCATCTACACTGCCAGGCCCTTGGATAGGCTGGCATAGTATTGTTCTGGGTATACTCCCTGTAAGGGCATCTCTGGATCAGTGGTTTTATTAGTTTCTTAAAATGAAAGGGAGCTGGGGCTCAAGCATTTTTAGAATCCGCATGCCTTGAATGGTATGCCCTGTCCCCAAATCCTGGATCTGTGCAGGGCTGTTCTGGTTGTTCAGTGCTGATGGAAATGTACTCTTCACATGCTTAGGGAGCCCTGGCATAAATAGACACCTAGGGCTGAGCCTGGGCTTGTTCCCAAGCAGTTTGGGGGGTCAGAGTCCCACCCTTTTTGGCCAACGACACTTGGCAATACATTCGTGATCAGAGTCTGATCCAAGCCCACACATCCCCTCTAAAATGTGAGCCCAACCTGTGTATATCAGCCCCCCCCCTTCCCTCAACTCTCTCTTCCATCCCTGCCATTCCCAGGCAGAACCGACAAGATATTTTCGCCGTCCACCCCAGCTGTTGCTCAACCATCTCCACCTTAGGGCTGGAAGGAACTGCAGAAAAATGTGTCTATGCAGCAGAAAAGACTGCAGTCACAGCACCGGCGAGGTGGGTGTAGAAATGGGACTGTGGGGAAGGGGTGCCCAGCAAACTCGGGGAATGTTTACAAGCAACAAATTGCAACCCACCTGCCCCCCACCCTCCAAGTGCTCCATTCAAAAAGGCGGTGCGGAGCAACCCTGTATTATTTGGGAGAGGGGAGCAGCGGTGGTGCAACATGGTGCTGCTCCCAGTTAGCTCAGAGAGATGCATGCATTGTAACTCCCACTCCTTTGTTAGCTCCAACCTGCTGGTACCCGGGTTCCCCGCCCCATATGATGCCCTCTGCCCCAATGCAATTCAGGAAGGGACTGGGGAAAGTTGGGGGGGGGCAAAGCTAAGAGAGGCTCCCCTCACCTGAATGACAAAGCAGCAGAGAGAGGAAGGCTGTCAACAACACCCAGTTCTGTAGCGGGCGGCTCATAATGCCTTCATAATCGGAATCAGGGCTGGCACCAATTGGTACAGCATGCGAGGAAGACAGGTCTCAGTGCCCTTTCTTCTTTTTCTTTTGCTTTGCATTGAAAGTCTGGGATGCTCCCTGGTCCTTGCCTCTCTTCCTTCCTTCTTCTTTTTCTCCTCGGAATTGTTGCTGAGGGGAGGAAGGTGGTCAGAAGAGGAGCGGAGAGGAAAGAGAGACGAGAATGTTTTGCAGAGGCAAAATCAAAACCAGTGAAGAGCCAGGAACGGGCAGGAAGGATACGGAAATATCTCCATCCTGGCTCTGCAGTGATGGATACAAGAGTCTAACATGATGTGAGGGAGAGAGATGGGGAGAGTTGGGGAGGGGGGAGGCAAAGGAGAGAAAGGACACGTGAGCTGCAAAGATCCCTCCCTCCTGCCTTTTTAGCATGGAAGAGCTGTCTCTTGTCGCTCCCCCCCAACCACTCTTTCTGTATGGACAGGCAGCAGGAACCAGCAAAAAGCGGGGGTGGGGTGGGGTGGGGAGCAGGTTGTGCACACACTAACCTTCTCTGCACATGCACACAGGCAAATCAGACCCGTTTACTCCGGTGGAAATCAAGGCGGAATAAACATGCTCCAAAATCATGGAATTATTTCTTCTTTCAGGAAGATTAGTCCAGGAGCTCAGGTTGATTCAGGTCTCAGGATGGATTTGAGATTCAGCACTGGAACAGGAAGAGAGGAAGTATGCCTCTGAGTATATGCAGAGTGCCTACCATCATTACCGGGTAACCTGTAGTTTTCACCAAAATTCATCCCCTTCGTTCAACGTATCTGGGATTAAGGAGCAAGGATGACCTATTTAAAAGAAATGGAGAAGTGTTTGGTAGCTGATGCCAGGTCAACAAATCAGGTGTGGTCTTGCATAGTCCTCATGTACTTACAGACTGCAGGGCCAAGCAAAATTGGTGAGCAAGCCTAGTGTGCGTATGTTCTCCTGAAGCATATACCTCTGTTCACCTGCTTGAGGAGCTAAGTCTCCTGCCAGGTAGCTTTTCAACAGCACCTCTTTGTCATATGCCACGGTTAGGGTTGTGTGGGCTGATTAGATATGCGTTGGCAGACAGAAGATCCAGTCTTGAAACATGGGAATGGAATCAGGGGGCTAATTAAATGGCTTTAGGTTCTACCTTCTGATCGAATTCTACGTTCACCTGAATAGGTGTTCAGGAAGTCCGGCAGTGAACTGAAATCATTATCATCATCATCAATTTATTAATTGCCTTCTAAGCAACCACCACAAGGCTATGCACACTAAAAAATATTTTAAAACAGCAACACAAAAACAGCAAATACATTTAAAATTACAAGGATGCAAATCAGACACTCGTGGTTAAGACCCATGTATCCAGCTTGGAACGTCGGTTGGAACAAAAATGTATTCAGGTGGTTCCAGAAAGTGCAGAAAGTGGGGGCCTGTTGTATCTTCCAGGGAATGCTGTTCCACAGAACAGGGGCAGCCACATTGAAAGCCCTGCTCTGAGTTATTGCAGAGCAGGCTTCTGAGATCTTTGGAACTTGCAGGAGAAACTCTCCCATAGCAATCCACTGAGTGTATAAGGGATAAGACAGTCTCTCGATTAATTGCACAAATCAAATGTTGCTAAATTGAATGCACAATACGAAGTCCCTACTCCAACCTACCCTATGGTAGTGCTTAAATTTCTTAAGTGGTGAGATTTACAGTTTATTAGCCGTACCCTCTCCTGTGCAATCCAAACAGGGTAGGGGCAGTCTGTTGGTACTCTGTGGTAAAGAGGGAAAGGTAATTTGCACGTGTTCAGACACAAATGTATAACTGTAGGATGGAACATTTGGTGTAATCTGTATTCTGGGCACTATGGGGGCTAACATGTTCCATTAATTAAGGGATGTTGTTGTTGTTTAGTCGTTTAGTCGTGTCCGACTCTTCGTGACCCCGTGGACTAGAGCACGCCAGACACTCCTGTCTTCCACTGCCTCCCGCAGTTTGGTCAAACTCATGCTGGTCCAACCATCTTGTCCTCTGTCGTCCCCTTCTCCTTGTGCCCTCCATCTTTCCCAACATCAGGGTCTTTTCCAGGGAGTCTTCTCTTCTCATGAGGTGGCCAAAGTATTGGAGCCTCAGCTTCACGTTCTGTCCTTCCAGTGAGCACTCAGGGCTGATTTCCTTCAGAATGGAGAGGTTTGATCTTCTTGCAGTCCATGGGACTCTCAAGAGTCTCCTCCAGCACCATAATTCAAAAGCATCAATTCTTCGGTGATCAGCCTTCTTTATGGTCCAGCTCTCACTTCCATACATCACCACTGGGAAAAGGGATAATCCATTAAGGGATAGTCCATCCTTAATGATGTAATGGAGTGGGAATACAGGCTGCAGCTCTGAAACTTTTTTCCAAAGAATAAATGTCAGCAGGTACAGCACCTGAGCTCAGGGTGGTAAACATGAGTGCAAAGCACCTCACTTTATAGTGCACCACCAGGTAGTCTAGGCTCAGATAGTGGCTGGCCCAGTGAAACTCATGGCTTATCATACCTTTTCAGCCAGAGTCCAAACCTGCTAACTCCTCAATCACCTTTTGCTAGTTTATTAGTCTCTATTAGCTGCATTGCAGGGGGTTGGACTAGATGATCATTGGGATCCCTTCCAACTCTACTCTTCTACAAGTCACCACATGCAACTGGTTTGTTTCAGTACATTAGAAGTTGCGGCAGGCCCATTTCTAAAAAGTGCAGGGCAAAGGTTCTGTCTAAGAATGGCTTTTATAAGACTTCCATTTTTTGCTGCAAGTGTGCAGCAATATGACATGTGAGAAACCACAACATGATTGTGTGTTTATTAACAGTTTGTTGATAACTTTTCGTATAGCATGCAATACATCCAAACTTAACTCCCCCAACACCCACCCAAGTCTCCCCACTGGCCCAAACATAACCCATCTCCACTTCCCCAAAGAAACAAAAATTAGAATGGAAAATTTAAAATATTCTTATTAAGCTTTGGTTGGCATCCATCTGCCTTGGGAGACAATAGAGGAGTACACCTTTGGGAGTGAAATCAATTTGTATATCAGAAATATTGGTTTGTGTGCCATTTTTCTCCTGAGTGCTAATCTGCATACGATTCTATGAATCCACCCCAAATCTGTTTGAAGCCCCCATCTCTCAGAGAACCCTTTCATGAGCAGCCAGCAGAAAAACAGATTATACATCCAACCCTTCCATCTTTGGTGTCATCCTAGATTTCCAGTGCCTCAAGATTATTCTTTTAGGCTGTCAGCACGGCTTTGCTAAACCACCCCCTCACACAGTCTCCATTTATCTGATATGTAGGCCAACTATCAGTAATCTCTGAAGTGCTATCCAAAAGTAAAATTCATTCTAGTTTCAACTTCTTTCCAAAAAGAGGCAACAGGGCGCTGTGAAAAGAAAATAAATGACTTCACTCTGATTTCATACCACCAACTTTCATCATCTGTTTGGATCCCCAAGGCTTAGATCATGTGGGTGTCCAATAATCCATGTGGATTAACTTTAAGGGAAGATCCAATGTGGAAAACTTGATATTGCATGCAGCAGGCCTGCAAAACACCGTCTGAAATTTATTGTTGAGCTCTGCATTTCCCCAAAACCTGATTTCCTTTCTAAATTAGGGATTAGCTCGTTGTGCATCACAGAATACAAGCGTTCGCTGGATCTCCGGTGGACCCACTGCATTAAGCACATTTGGGTCAAATGTTACCTCAGCTTTATGCTCATGTTGTACATTCTGCCGTGACACTCCCGCTGAAAGGATACATTTCTCCTGTAATGATTTAAACATGTATTTTTTTGGTCAAAATCTGTGAGCAGGGTGCAATATTAATTTCCACCCATGAGGCTTTTACTCTGTTCAACCTGCATATATAGCATAACAGTTATCTCTAATTACAGGAGGTAAGATATGGAGGGGGGAAAGCAGAGCGTTCAATTCTGAGGCGAGCACAATTTGAGGGAGACCTCTACAAAAGCTGGGCCGCGTTATAGCATTTTTGACATTCAGGTATCAGTATGCCCGCCACAAAAGTTGCCAGGTGTTACATGGGGTTGGGCAGTTGATCGGTTTTGAGCCGCAAGATGGTTTTGGGACAGAAATGTTAGTGGGAAAACGATTGACAACAGGAGAGTGAACCGAGTGACTGGAGGAGTGTGGCAGTTGGGAAATGAGTTTGCGATTCTGAGGGAGGGAGAGGTGGGGGAGGGGCAAAGAGAAATGAGACAAAGGAAACCTTAAAGTATATATTTAAAAGTTAGGATAGCTATTGTGACCTTTAAGATGTTGTTATGTGAGGTCAGGAAATGAGAACTTTTAAGAACTCTGTATATAAAGATGACTGGCTTAGAATGTTTCTTTTCTTCATCATGCATCTATGTTTAACGGCCTGTGCTCTGATCTGAGAGGATCCCAAAGCAAATATAGATCCACCCACATATCTGATGGAGATGCGCTCAAGTAATAATATAAAGGGAGAGGTGAACTAATCTCTTTTGAGTCAATAGGTGGAGATGGCAGATACTTTGAGGGAAACCTTGACTCAGTGGAGCAAAAGACAGGCTTTCTGCAAGGGATCCTGGGAAGTCACCATTTTGTGGGGTCTCGAAGCGGGAGATCTTAATTTCTATATATTAATATTGCAAGAGTAGAATCACAATTTAACAGCAATGTGGGATTCAAGGGTGCGATATATTCATAAAGAGAAGCAGAAAGTTGGGAGAGTCATGGAATTGTAATCTTTTGCCCAATGTGGGGCTCAAACCCACGACACTGAGACTGAAGAGTCTTATGCTCTACCAATGGAGCTATGCTCTCCATGAATTTGAAAACTGGATATAGAGGAATGAATGAATTTTGGTAACCAGGACCTTAAAGGAAAATGACACGGAACAAGTGCAGTCAAGTGTTTGCCGTTGTTTATTTCGGTTCAAAGGGGGCGCAGAGCAGAAAAAAAGCCACATAAAGAAGCATACAAATCAAAGAGCACTTGTAAGGATGAATCCTGACTCCGTAGGATACTGGAGGAGAAAGGAAGACTTGGCGGGAGCCCGCCTGGAAGAGGAGTGAGGGAGAAAGAAGCTCAGAGATGGAAAGAGGCAGAGCAAAGAGAGGACATAGGAAACAGAGATGGAGGAGGATGCAGAGCAGAGGAAGCAGGCCTCTGGAAGTGAAACCTAGCTTATCCAGTTTTCCACACAAGCCCCAACTGCAGTTGAGTCCCCTCCATCTCCATACGGCTGTTCCTGTAACCCTAGTCCTCCTTGCAGCCTGAGATTGGCTGTTTTCTGTAGGAGCGCAAAAGAGAGATGGGATTCATAGTTGCTGCCTCACGCAGGTCCCTAGCAGTGCA